TTAAACATTTGCAGTGAACTGATTTAATTATGTAAATGTTATTTCTTGTTCATGGAATTTTTCTGAATCCGAGACTAAGGTCACCCGTCTGCAAAAACACTAAAGAAAGATATGAGAAAAAAAACATTTTCAGGGCTGTTGAGATGTTAAGATATCTGACATGTTTTTTTTTAATCAATCTGTAGGTTTTCCGTCATCTCAGACTCCAGTATTATCCTCAGACACAGCCATGAAATCTGTGCTTGATGGGGTGGCAGACACCACCTTCCGGACTATTACATCTGGGTTGCAGTATCTTGGCTCCAACGATGCCAACTACGACGACCCCATCAATGATTTGAACTTAAAGGGCAGCTTATCCATGCAGAAGCCCCTTTCTGCTTTCCGCAGCAACTCGTTTCCAGACAAGATACCTGCAGATGAAGAGCTTATCCTCAAGGGCATACCATTCTTCCCTACCAATGCCACAGACTTGTTTGGCAACAGGACCACATTTAGAGATGAGACCAATAATATACAATGCGGTGAGAACTTTATGGACATGGAGTGTTTCATGATCCTAACCCCCAGCCAGCAGTTGGCTGTGGCTGTGATGTCTCTGACTCTGGGTACCTTCACAGTCCTGGAGAATCTGGTGGTGCTCTGTGTCATACTGCAGTCCCGCACCCTCCGCTGCCGTCCATCCTACCACTTCATTGGCAGCCTTGCAGTAGCTGACCTCCTGGGCAGTGTCATCTTCGTCTACAGCTTTTTGGACTTTCACGTTTTCCACAGGAAAGACAGCCCAAATGTATTTCTCTTCAAGCTGGGTGGAGTCACTGCATCATTCACAGCATCAGTTGGGAGCCTCTTCCTCACTGCTATTGATCGCTATATATCTATACACCGGCCCTTAGCCTACAGGCGCATTGTGACACGGAACAAGGCTGTCGTAGCCTTTAGTGTGATGTGGACACTTTCGATCATCATTGCAGTGCTACCTCTGCTTGGCTGGAACTGTAAACGTCTCAACTCAGTGTGCTCAGACATATTCCCCCTGATTGATGAGAACTATCTGATGTTTTGGATCTTCCTGACCAGTGTCTTGGTTATTTTTATCATCTATGCCTACATATACATCCTTTGGAAGGCACACCACCATGCCGTCCGTATGCTGAGCCGTGCCTCCCAGAAGAGTCTTGTTGTCTACTCAGCAGATGGGACTAAAGTGCAAACCACACGCCCTGAACAGGCACGCATGGACATCCGTTTAGCCAAGACCCTAGTTCTCATTTTGGTAGTGTTGGTAATCTGCTGGGGCCCATTGCTTGCCATAATGGTATACGACCTCTTCTGGAAGATGGACGATGACATAAAGACTGTGTTTGCATTCTGCAGCATGCTCTGTCTTCTCAACTCTACCGTCAATCCAATCATCTACGCCTTGAGGAGCAAGGACCTGCGCCGTGCCTTCCTCAGCTGCTGCAGCATCTGCCGGAGTAGTGCCCAGCAATTGGAAAACAGCCTCGAGTCGGACTGCCAGAACAGGCATACCAACATTTCTGCCAACAGGGCTGCAGAAAGTTGCGTGAAGACCACTGTGAAAATAGCCAAAGTGACGATGTCAGTGTCGACTGAAACCTCTGCAGAAGCTGTCTAATTTGCCATTGGGGAGTTTGTGTGTAAATGTTATCATCTTTGAACATACCCATTTCACATAAAAAGCAAAGGTTGGATATTCCAGAAACGTCCTCTCCTGAAAGTTGTTGACACTCATCCTCACACATGCTTTATTGGCTTCATAACGTCATGTTGTTGTGTGAGTACACAGTGTGCCAAAGTGCCAAATGGTATTGTAAGATAATAGAGGGGCCTCATGATTTGGAAAAGACTCAGAAAGACTATCATAAGTCTGCTGTTTACCATATAGACTCCATGATATCTAGTCAGCAAATGCATATTATATTTTTGTACTGTGAATTCAGGTTTCGACAAACTCTATCTTCATTTATGGGATAAGGGGCTACTGAAATTTCTAAGTAAAGATGTTTTACAGTGTCATGTAGAAGTTGATATGTCTATGAACTCATACATATAACAATTCACCGCGCCTTGACTTCCTATAGGTTTCCCTTTGCATAGAGGCATTTTTTAAGCTGAATGAAGAAATAATGTAGTTATTACAGACTGTCTTGTTCCAGATTTTTTTGATTTTCTTACATCATTCAGTAAATGCGGAGGGATGTTTTTTTTTTTAAACTACAGGTCAGGAAGAGTAAGTAAATCTTGAAAAATCTACTAAGAATAATAAGTGTGAAATAGGTCAACAAAAATTTATTTTCCGTGGTAGTGATTTTTTTTACTAGCTGCCAGCTCTTGTAGGTAAAAATGTCTTTATTCAGTAATGTACCTAACAACTGTACAGTGTTTAATTGCAAATGAAGAGTTCCAATTCAGCTATACAGCCAAGTGAACTCATACAATAAGCTTTTTTTCATTTAAAGCTTGAAAAATAACAAAAACAGTGTGCTGGTCACTACTGTTCGAAACTTAAAGGGTCTCCGGACAATAGCTGCTTTTGTCGATTGCTTAATTTGATCAGATTCTGCCTTGTATGTATGTGTGGTAACTTGTGACTTAGTGATCATTTTCCAACCCCAAAGCCTTTTGGTCATTGCAGTGAATTATTCTTAGTGCTACTGTTGCAGAAAACAAAAGGAACCAATGCACAGGACTGGTGATGTGGTTTTGGCGTAAATTTAAGTGACATGAAAAATACCTGCTGTTCATTTTTATTTCTTAAAACAAAGAAACATAGGTCAGTAGCATGTGATTCAAACTGAATTTTGTGTGTAAGAATTATGTGGAGATCAAAACTGACCTTAAATAAGACATCATAGCAGCGGTGGGACTTTTTTTTCTGATAGATGATGTAGAACTTTTAATCTAGAAATATCACAGCACAATTGTTCTGTAAACATTTATCTTGTTGTGAAGTTTTCCAAACAGATGTTTATCAGTATGCTTCTGCTGGCTCTCGTAATTTTAAGTATTAAAGAACAAAATGTCAACTTGTCAAGTGGCTTCTGTATATCGGTGGCAAAATGAGGAGTTTATGACTTCAAAATCCCAGTCGATCAAGTGTTTCTGATATTACTGTGTTAAAACCTTTGAATAAAGTCGCAGCTGGTGTCATGTTGCTTGTAGTTGTTTAATTTGGTTATTTTATAGCAGAAAAATGAATGACGACCGAGTGAGGACATCTACTCTAGGCCCAACATGTGCTGACAGAAGAACCCAAGGCCTGCGTCTAGTCATGATGTTTTACTGCCCCCTTGTGGAGGAATTTATATTGTCTGCAATGAAGAGCGTCTAAAAAGTTGTGGAATCTTCCCTGCATCATTTGCCGTTTACTTTTATTTTCTTGGACCATGCTGACAAGAAAAGGAAATTATCTTTTAGTGTAATTAAATATTTAAACTAGAAAAAAAATGTCTTGCTTCAATTAAACTTCAATATCACATCTAAATTAAAAAAGTAACCAGTCAGTCTCTTCAGATATTTTTCTTAGTTTCTGCTTTTAATTTTTGTCACAAATACACAGTAGATTCTTGCTACTTCGAACTACCTTTGAGTAATAACTGGCTATAACTCATCATTTTTAACTGAGTACACAAAATTAATCATTCATAAATAAACCTGAACTATAATACATTATAGAATTACTTGCTGTTTGTCTAGAACAGTATTATCCAGTTTTAGGGCTTTGAAATTCTGCTTTTTCTACTTTCAACTTTTGTTTGTGACATATTATTTCTTATAATTACTAGAATAGTTTCCCTTGTATTGCTCTGTATCATGAAGTATTGTATAACATTAACAAATATGTGTTTTATGTGTGTTTTTGTGTGCATGTATAGGTTGGTATATGTGCTTCTGTATAGTATTAATATATCTGTGTATAAATGTATGTTTATGCATTACGTGTTGTGGTATCTATGATAATATTCATTATGTTTATATTCATGCATCAGGAGAGCTTTATTTTGTACTTTTGTTATATTTATAGAAAAGCTACGTGAGCAATTGGATATAGTTTAACTATAATGGAAATCCTTATTGTATAATATAAAATAGGGGACTGTGGAACGGTCTCTATTGGGTTTTGGACAAGGAATTGGATTTAATAAGTTATACCTCTTCCCACTTCTTTTTCAAATGTGTAAATAACAATAGTGTTGTCTTAGTTGTTGTTGTGTATTTTTTCTTCACTGTTTTGCACTTTGTTTCTTATGGTTGTATATAAGGAAAGAGTTTGTTTCATTTTTATCTGTTCCCAAGGAACTACTTTAACTCAAAAAATATAATTACAAAATAACTGTTTTGGCCAGAAAAGAGTTATCTATAATATAAAAATCTTGAAAACAAGACTTACAGCAGATAATGATTTTAAGTTACAATGGTGCAAAGTAGGATTGGTTACTTTCAGTGATAATATGTACTGTTTACTGTATGTCCATTTGAGCTCTGACTGGTCAGGCTCGCAGATATAAGTAGACAATGACTCTATATAAAGATTGGTAAAATGACTGATCAAATTAGTATTGTTTTAAATTAACCATTGTGAGCTTATAGTAGACAGGCTACTTTATTAAAACATTATTTTTGCTCCATGGAGTTATATTTCATTTCATCTAGTCTCACCCCCTTCTTACTTTTTGAGCAAGTACATTTAAATTTGTTTAATAACAAAATAATCTTATTCTATATAATAAATTAAAAAGTAAACGATTTAATACAAAGCTGTATAATCCTAATTTTAAAAAGTAAGCTTAAACTGAAACCTTTTTGCTGATTTGTGGATATCTTAAGAAACAAAACAAATTTGAAAAAAGGACGGATTCTTGGAGTTTAGGGAAATGTAGTCCCCAAACAATTGATAGACTTGAGAGAAGGTCAGTTAAAAACTACAAATCCCAGCATTAAGCTAGTTTCTTGCGCATGCGTATAACTAGCTGATAGAGAATAATAACAGGGAAGCTTGTTTGGACCGTTTGCGTTGTGCTGCGTTAGTCTTAAAATCTGTCATCATCCATATTTTTACTTTGCTTTACCCAAGTTATTTTATCGAGAGTGTCTGCTTATGTTATCTGTTATTTATATTTTATTAGAATTTCGCATTGGAAGACATCGACAACGTAAAAAAAGTGCGTGGCGTCTACATCGCCGCTATTCTTTTTTTTGGCATTAGCATTAGCAGTGGGGCCCAAAAAAGCTAGTTCCTGAAGATACAATTCTATAAAGGCTTCGTTTTTCGCCAAGCTTATATTTATATTTGGGTAATAATGGCTTGTGGGGCTACTTTGAAACGTACTCTGGATTTTGACCCCCTAATGAGCCAGGCTTCTCCCAAAAGAAGAAGGTGTGCACCGGTCATGTCGCCGGTCTCCTCTCCGCAGAAATATCTGCGTTTGGAACCATCGCCTTTCGGAGAAGTGTCATCTAGACTCACCACAGGTAACAAAACTAGATCAATGTAACTCCAAATTGTTTTTAGGATGTTCAAAGAGTTCATACCTGTATACAGGTCCAAAATTTCCGCATTGACAGTAAAGTGCGCATGGCGTGTACTTCTCAACAATGAATATTGTAATCATTATCTATTCTAAAAGTGTTTTCCAGTCTCTATATACGTGGAATGGTCATGTTTATTATGTAGCGTCGGCATGAAACAGATTACTCCTGTACTAACCCCAGAACATGCTAATCTGAGCTAATTTGTAAAATTACCTGGCCAGATGAGGGATCATCTGACTTGCTTTGACAAACTTTGTCACCTTGCATACACTGCGTTTACATAATGAAATTTCGATGCATACAGTTTTTCAGCATTTAATAACCAGCTTACAACAGTGATCAATAATGTAGGCAGTGAAGGAGAAAAGGAAACCATTTTAAAGTCATGGAGTAAAAGGCATTGATATGGAAAGGTTCAGTGCAGTGCAACATAAATATTCTGCAAAATGCAGTAGAACATTGAGAACATTGATTGGTAGTGCAAATAAGATGATTTCAAATGTATTTATACAAATTACACTGGTTTGTTCAAAACTGCTTCTTCATATATGGACTGATCTGTCTTTTAGAACAAATTCTGCACAACATAAAACAGGAATACAAACGCCTGCAGAAACGGCGACACCTGGACAGCGCTTTCCAGCAGACAGATGGGTGCTGTCCTCTGGATCTGCAAAACATTCAGGCTGGGTCACCTTTGGCTGGGTCTCCTTTACCAGGTAGGTGCTATTGCCGGTTGTAAGGAAGCCATGATTTGTTTTTAAAGTTGTAATCAGCTGTAGACAGTTATTTCTTATCAGAATCAAGTGTATTGCCAAGTAGGTTTGCATTTACAAGGATTTTGACTTGGTATTGATGGTGCCGACAAATTAGATATATACACAAAATACAACATCTATAGCTATATACAATGTAAAACATAGGATATACTATATACAATATATAGTATATAGCTATGTACTATAAAGGTGAGTGTCGGCATGGGTGTTGCGATATATGTTTCACAGTACTTGGATCACAATACAATATTATTACGATAAGGCAATGTCACTATATATTGCAATATTTTTGGCTATCAAAATTTAATGTATATATAAAAGGCACGTGCTGTGTATGTTCATCAGAAGATATTGATGATTTAGTTATTTTGGTATCCATGTTTTTGGGGGTATAAAATTCTATACTAGGAACTGAAAGATAGATGTTATATCAGGCAGCCGAAAATCGTGATACATCGCCAAAACAATTTTTCCCCATGCCCCTAATGTGATATATACACAGTAGGCTGTGCTTGAGTATAAAACAGGAGGTCTTGAGATGCTGGGTTGGTGTTGCTTGTACATCCTGACCAGGGGAGGGAGAGAGGCAGTGTCATGGGGGTCTCTGGGCCTTGCTGATAAAGCTGATAGCGGATGGGAAGAGACTGTTCTTGTGGCTAGAGGTTTTGGTCCTGATGGACCACAGCCTCCTGCCATACGGAAGTTTCTGATATATGGGTGTAGATATGAGAGATCACTTTTAAACAGGGTATGGTATTACTTTAAAATAAAAACAAATGATCATTGATTTGAGATTTTTTTTGCAGAAAAAATAAATAACTTTTCTCTGAATTCTGTAAAACCTCTCGTCTTATATTGGTACAATAACCACAACCGTGCTCCATTTTGGTTTTAAACAGCCCTTAATTTATCGGTGTTTGTGTGACTCTCCCAACAGGTACATCCTCAGGTGGCTCATCTCCCACCAGGAAGGAGCAGCCATTATTTTCCCTTAGACAGGTTGGGATGATCTGTGAGAGACTACTGAAGGAGAAAGAGGACAAAATTCGAGAAGAATACGATGAGATTCTGACAACAAAACTCGCTGGTTAGATCTTTTTATCATTGTTTTATGTCACGTTTTATTTATTTATTTATTTTTTCATCAACATATACATATTTCCCAACTGGGCAACATCAGTAATCTGCGCCTTGTTTCACAGAGCAATATGATGCATTTGTCAAGTTCACACATGACCAGCTGATGCGAAGATTTGGGGAGCAGCCTGCAAGTTGTAAGTATAACATCACTGTCTGCTAAAATCTCTTAGTCACTTCTGCTCAACTTTCCTATAAAGAATTTTGTAGAAATTATGTATAATCTTTTAAGCTGGAGACCAACTTTTTTATTCTAAGGATTTAATGATCATAGCATTTAATTCTTATGAGAAAACTGGTAAGAATGACATAATTTTAAAGCTGCTGTCCATCATTTCAATTGAGTACAGTTACTTAAGGCCGATGTCGGTAGAACACAAAGAAACATGCTCAAATAGGTTATTTTCAAAATGTTCATTGTATAGCTTAGACATGATGTGTTGCTGTATCCTGAAAGTTTATGGGTAATCCGCGTGGCAACAGCTTGGAAGTGTTCATTGTTTATATATAGCACAAACCTTTACACAAAGAGGTGTAGGAAAAAGGTATTCAGCTATGCAACCTTGTTAAATAAAGGAGATTGATGGTAATTTACTCAATTGGCATTTTATTTATATTCGCAAAGATGAAAACAAGATGGTAGTGACACACTTCGATGTTCTGCACTGTTCTGGTTACACAGGATTTCAATAAACACTTTGGGAATCACAGGAAGAGACAAAATAGTTTCTCACAATCCAAAGCATTTGTTGAAATAACCTTGAGTCTTAGGGAGCCTAGGCTATTACCAAAACATCTTAAACTGGAAAACAGCTTCTGAGGTTAGATAATAATAATTAAACATGATTGAATTTCATTGATCTCACATTGGAGAAATTTATTGCCATTGTGCGGCACACGGGGAGCAGTGTGGGGTTATGGGTCTTGTTTAGAGACCTAGAGTGGCAGTCTGTGGTAGCGAGTTTTAAACTCACAACCTCAGGATTCCAAGCTCTATGGCCTAACTACTAGGCTGCCCTTTCTCCCTGCATTCAGACAAGACCTTTGTCTAACAGGTGCTTCCCTAGAACGACTCATTTTTTAGTGCAAGTACATAAGGTCAGCACTCATAACTGACAGGAGAACAAATGTAATTTTTTTGACTACAGTAGCACAAACCTTTACACAAAGAGAGGTTACCTCATGCCTTACTTCACTAGATGGATGAGGATGAAAGTATCCAGATCACAGCAAAATATGAAGTGTCTTTTTTGTTTGATGATCCATGTTAGATTTTTTTTATGTTTTTTTTTTTTTTTTTTTCCAAATAAGGTGGATATACTAAAATACTTAGGAAAGAAATTCAGACCTGTACTGCCGAATAAAATATGTTTTCTAATTATTCTAGGTTATCGTGTCTTAATTATAATTGAAAGCATTTACATTTCTTCAGTATTTTGAAATCATGTCCTTTGCTGTACTGGAGAAAATGGTTTTACTTTAATCGATTTATCAAGAACAAATGTAAGTTATTTTGTTGTTGTTGTCTTTGCTAAGAGTGTTATACTTTACTCTAAAAAAGTTATCAGGTAAGACCATGCAAGGATAAAACCTAATATTTATTTTTTTTCTTACAGATGTCTCTTGAGTTCTGAATTTGGGATATTCCCTTTGCTGCCATCTTCTCCAGGGCCTTGGTGGGTTTGATTAGACTTTTCTCCTTGCTGTGCCATATTGCCTCTCTGTGGACTTGCTGCCTCGGGCATCAGTTATTGGCGTCAACATTTCCTGTTGCTTGTAGGAGTTCGGAGAGTTTTCTGCTGCCAACATTACATGAGACTCTTCCAGTGGCCTCTTTACTGCCATGATCCTTTTGGCTTTGTTCTGATGCCTTTATTAAAGGCTCTCATCACACACTTGGCCTTTTTTACTTTACTATTTTATTCCTTTAGTGATATTTCACCAAGGATGTGAGTTGTGCAGTTTTTATGTCTGTTTTTCTAAAGGGATTGGAGATTAATTAGTTGAAGGAAGACAGCTGTCTGGATTTGAGTATCAACTGTTGTCTTTGCTTTCTTCAACTTTGTATAAACTGTTCTGATTATTACTACTTTTAGATTTTGTACATTTGTACACACTGTATTGCATTAGTTTAATTTGTTTTGCATATTTGGCTTGAATTTTGTTCATTGTATCCCAATGTTATGACTTTGTTTTACTATAAGTTTAAAGGGGCTTTGATTCCAATGATGTAAATAAAGTTTTGTCTGAAACATGTTCTTCCCTCTTTTATTGTACCTTTGCAAAAATGTTTAGTCAGCTTAATTCTTTTAAAAGTAAACTGTCTGTAATTTCATTAAAAATGCTTTAATTTATTTATTTTTTTCTTAAAATTAAAATGGAATACATTAGAAAACCCCTTTATTGTCCCACAATGGGGAAATTCTGGCATTGAAAGTAGCATAGAAAAATGTGTAAGAATAACATAATGGTAAAGAGTTAAAAAAATTAATGAAATGCTGTGCTCTGAAGTGTTTTAACAATATACATACTGTGCACCTTGAGAATAAATAACCAATATGCAGTTATGGATATTTGGAAATGGTAATACCAGAGATGTGCAAAATCATAGCATCTCAATAAGAACTGCAAAATCAGCATGAATGTAACAACTTAGTGAGGTTGACAGTGATTGTTATGAAAGAGGGACTTAATATTTATAAAAAACTAGAATTTAATCTTTGAGGCAATAACTGATGAGGTCCCCGATTAAAGCAACTGGCATATAGGAGAAAAAATAATAGATTTTTACATTGAATTGTCAAAGGTCTTATTTTTAAATCATCTTGCTTGCGGTAGGAGCAGAACATAAAAACGAGCGCACCCTTTCACGCCCCTAAGCGTGTGTTGAAGCGAAGCCTGTGATTGGATGAGCAGAGCGGAAGCAGTGTTAAACAGGAAGTAGTGTAACATTTCCAATGAGGACAGGTCGCGGATTTATTGAACCTATTTTTATCATGACTTAAGATTTTTTTGTTTCTATTGGCACAAATATGGCTTGTTTCTTTAGAAGAAAAATTGCTGCCAAGGTAAACTTGTCAAGAAACGGCTAATGCTAACAAGCTCTGCACTTTGTAAGATTGTGAGGTTAAAAATGGTCAATTTTATTGAATTTTATGCAATGTTCAGCTTGCAGAGGCGCTGCAGCAGTCCGATGATGCCTTTATACCTGTTCTGACTGTTATTCCCGTTCTCAAGAAGCAGTTAAGTTTGTTCACGTCACTCCTGCAGATGTCTCCTGTTTGTCCTTTTACTGCTTAGTTAAAGATCAGGGATTTTTGTTTTGTTTTTTTAGGCAGAGTGCTGACTTTAGGCTGTCGCTTGGAACATTACGGAGCAACGGAATTCTTCCTTCCAGTGGGGAAATCCAGCTGCAGACAGAAAACCTTGTTGCACAGGTCAGATTTATAATGCAAACAGAAGTTGTAAAGGCGTCAGTAAAGCCCAGGTCACATCGATGGCGTATGACTGTTTAATGGGAAATTCAAATTATGCAATTTATTGTTTCTCCCAAGTGTACTTACATAATGGATTGCAAAAATTCATACCCTTTGAACCATTTCCTATTTTATTAGTTTTACCTTAAAACTTCAGCGTATTTTTATATTTGCTTGTAGGTCAAAAGGCAGTTGGAGGTAAGTTTGAAGCAATATAACTAATTTTCCCTTACTATAAACGATAAATGCACTGATGGATGGTACATGGCTTTTTAAGTCAAGGCAAGGCAAATGTATTTGTATAGCACAACTCAGTACAAAGACAATACTAAGTGATTTAAATGATTAAAATATAGGAAAATAAAACAGAATCAAGCAAGTAGGAAAAAAAGTAACTTTAAGTCATACTGGCCACTTAAAGTGCTAAACAGTATGGACAATTGAACTTAAACTCACATAATGATCAGTAGACAACTTGGGGTTAAGTAATATGCTTAGAGGTACATCAACACGTGGAAACAGGAAGCTGGAATCTAACCTACAACCTTCTGATTGTAAGACAGCCTTCCACTGAGTCACAGATGCAGCTAAATAAAGAACAATATGACTATCTGCCTTCGGAAATGATCTGATTTTAAAATAAAAGTCCAAGTTCAATCCATCATCCACGAATGGAAAGATAAAAAAATAGATTAAAAACAAAATATTGAATCTTATTGATCTCACAATGGAGAAATTAACCTCTGCATTTAACCCATCCCTTTTGGTGGAGCAGCGGGCTGCCATTGTGCAGCAACTGGGGGATAAAAGTCTTGCTCTGAGGGCCAGAGGGTTTGAACTCACAACCTTGGGGTTCCAAGCCCTTGTTGCAAATGCGCTTAACTCTGAGTGTTAAGTCATGTTAATGTTTACAGTGTGTAATAATTCACCCTCTGAGCTTAAACTCATTTAGTGAGAAAATTTGTCATAAACTTCACTCTCTATATTTTTAATGCTAGTAAAAACAGAGTTAATTACAGAAATGTTTTAAAATAGGCCATAAGAGTCTATCCTATGGCCTGTATGAAAATATGAGACAGGAAAATGGACACAAAGATGAGGAGAAGACAGACTGACAGACGTAGGACATAAGAACCCCAACACTACTGATTCATGCTACATGAATCTTTTGTTTGTTTGCTTTTGGATCAATTTTTAAACCAAAATATAGCCACAATTTGGTTACCATAAAATCTCAATGAAATGCATAGAAGCTCATGTTTGTACTTTGACAAAATGTAAAAAGATTACATTGTATTAATTGAAACCCTTTTTTAACTGTAAATGTTGAGAGGAGATTTATGTTAAGCGATTTAAAAACTACAGGCATATTATCAAAGACAAACATGGTAATAATCTAAATGAGAGGAATTAACTTTCTTTTTTAAATTATTAAATATGTAAAAGTACAACAAATAAAATTTTTAGATTATCAAACTACTGAGTGTTTTATCTTATTTCTCTATAAAAATCAAATATTTTTTCACTACTCAGGTGAGTGTTGTTTCTTGCAAATGAAATAGAATTTTATTCATATGACTTCAATTGTTTTTTTTTCTTTTTCAGTTAAAACCTGACAGCGTGGTGGAGGATATTACAGTTGGACATGGGCTGATTAACTTTAAAGTAAATCGCAGCCTTCTTGCTGAGGTTAGTTTGCCAAAAACCAGAGAAATATCAACAAAACGTCTTCCCAGCTTCTTTTGTGGTCGTTAAATTTGAGTCTTTTTTTCTTTCAGAAACTCTTGGAGCCATTTGCGGAAGACGAGAGTCATAATTTTGGGTTAAACAGCAAACTTTTGGATACTCTGAAGAGAGGAACCACATTAGTAGAATTTAGGTAGAATTGGCTTTATTAGTATTATAATAAGTTTATAAATATATTGGAAAATTGACTCTAAAAAAGCTATCATTTTATTTTTTTGTAGCTCCCCAAATATTGCTAAAAAGTTTCATGCTGGGCACCTGCGCTCAACAATTATTGGTGAGTTTCAGAAGGGAATCCAGTTTGCATTTTTTATTTTTTTATTTTATAGTATGTTTAGGAGGTACTTGTACTCCTTGAATTTTTTTAATTTTATCAAGTGGAAAGTACAACAGAATATTAGGGCCAGACTAAGGACAATTTTTTTGACAGGCTGTAATATGAGAATAAAGTTATATTAGCAGATATTTATCATAATATTAAGAGATTAAAGTCGTAATATTAAGAGAATAAAGTCGATATTATTTAGTTAGTACTTTTGCGCTGCCATGTCCTGCACTGAAATAAGGACTGTTGAGGATTTTGTGACGTTATACTTTCGTTATACTTTTTTTAAAATAAGGAAATAATAAACCTTTTAGACTTAGACTTTATTGTCATTTTTTATACAGTGTATACTAAACGAAATTTCATTTCATTGAGCTTTTCAACAGTAAATGAGCAGCAGCTTAGCAGTGTAAAAGAACATTTCCAAAGTGCAGTATTGATCAAATATACACTGTGTGGGGAAAACATGGTGGAAAAAGGCATTGGTGTGGAAGGTTTATAGCAGTGCAAAAATAAATAGATATGGTGCAGAATGGAGTACGAAACATTTGAATTGAGTTTTATTTTATCGAGTCACCATGTAGTGCAACTATGATGTTATCAGTCTCGATTTGTGACTTGATATAGAGTTTTTTAGCACTTCAACAGTACGATGGCAGTGGGGAAAAAGCTGTTACAGAACCTGCTGGTCCTGCATAGAATGCTGCAAAGGCTCTTCCCAGAGTGCAGCAGAGAGAACAGTTGACGGGGGGCCTGAGGGGTCGCTGATGATGTTGCTTTAGTCCATTAGTATCAAATTATTAGGCTATTATATTATAAACGGAGCTCAGATTGCTGTTTGATAGAGTGGCTTGTGTCTTCAGATATTGTTTGAATTTTTTGGAAAGACTAGTAATGATCTCTTTATTCAATCATGACTTTACTCTCAAAATACTACACTTTTATTATTGTATTACCAAAATAAGGTTGTAATCTTATGAGTTTATTCTAATTTTTTTTATTATCTTAGTCTGACCCTAATACTCTGTCGTAAAAAAGCAACAACCTTCAGTTGTGATTTTATTTGGTTGACCAGTGGACAGAAAATAAGGCCTGGTCTTCAAAATAATTCACATTTTATAATACAAAAATGTGGCTTTGAATTTTATTTAAGGGTAGCATGCTTTATGCATACATGTCAATGCATAATGCACATATATAAACAATGCTTTACTTAGGTAAAAAAATATAGATGTAAGTTAATAGTTTCGTTGTTAAATGGTTTTAATCTGATCCAACATCTATGTGAAATTCTTTTTCAGGAAACTTCATTGCTAACCTGAAACAATCCCTTGGTAACGATGTCATTCGAATGAACTACCTGGGAGACTGGGGCATGCAGTTTGGTGAGTATGTCGTGCTACAAATGTGTTCTCTGACATGAGTTTAATTACTGAAACCAGGAAACTGGTTTGAATTTGAATCCCAGGTTTGTTGGGAGCTGGGTTCAGCAGGTTTGGATGCACGGAAAAGTTGAAGGAGAATCCATTACAGCATTTGTTTGAGGTGATATTGTTTTCTTCATATTATATTATTTTAAGGTTAGAATATGTGTTTATTTAGCTCAATTGGAAAATGTCCAGGTAATTGTTTGTATTAAGTTTCATATAGATTTTTTTTATTTTTGAAAATGCCTTTTCTTTTGTGCTACAGTAGATTTTATGAG